TTATACATTCATCTCACTTTAATTAGATTTTGCAATTATAAAACCGAAGCATATAGTACACTGAAATTGGGAAATACAATGAGATTAAATCAATAAACAAAAATGATGAATGAGTAACAATAGCTAATAGTAAAATTTTAAGAGACTATACGACTGTGAATGATTGATGGAATGAATAAATAATAGTAGTTAGCTGAATAATGATAATAAAGATTAAAAATATAATAATTCTATAAGTCATGCAGAATGAATAATAATAATTAGAAAATAACAGTGATAAAGTAAAAAAACAAAGACTGGAATTCCCAGACAATGGTCCACTTTGCCATCTATGTTGAACTTGGGGGGTACAGCCATGATAGCACTTTAAAATAACTTGACTTGTCCCTTGACTGCATGAAGGCACACTGAGCTAATGTTGAGTGTGTTGACTGCTCAGTAGTTAGATCTAGTAGTAGTCTGTTTTCTCATTATCACAGGCAATGGTTGCATGTTCACAAAAGTTGAAGAGAATAGCTCAAGAGGATATCAGCTTATCTGTAGATCTCAGTCAACTGTCATAAAATACAGGCTAATATTATCGACATAGTGATCACAAGCATCAGCTTACCTGCATGTACTGAAACTGCAAGGATGATAAAGTTCCTATCAAAGACTCAAATAGAGCTGGTAAATTTCTCTCCTGATGCATAGCTATCATTCTTGCAGAAAGATCCGTATAGTTTCCGTGTTGTTCCGTACTTCAATACAGATCCGCGAGCGTTCCGCGTTGATCCGCATTTCAGCCTGATCCGCATTTGATCCGCGTGGATCCGTATTTCAGGCAGGCCCGGTTAATTGGCATATCTCCCCAGCGCTGCCGCTCATCCCAAACGAAGATCTTATTCTACATCTCTGATCTGAGAGCTCATCGGGCTTCCTGTATCCATTCTCACTAACTTTAATCTCTTCCCACTAAGGTGGTACTCTCCTCAACAGAGGAGGCAACAAATTAAAAGAAGAAGAAGATTAAAAATTACGGAGTACATTTACGGTTTAGATTACTGTCCTAATAACCCCGCCCATTAATAAAGAGTTAAAATGGTTCCTGTACTATCATCAGTCAGTACTGATCCTTTAGTCTACTTCTTCTTGTTCTCTCTTTATCTGATATCAACCAGTAACTGTCAATATACGGAATCAGTAAAGTAACCTTTTAATAACCAATAATATATGAACTGAACTATCTTTCTCTCTCTCTCTCTCTCT